TAGGCGCATGAGGCAGACCACCAGCTTGGGACTGAGTTCTTCGAAAAGCTTCCGGGTTGGGTTGAGGAGGGCAAGATCAAACCTAACAAGCCCAAGGTTATTCCTGGTGGCCTTGAGGGAGTTCACAAAGGATTCCAGGAGTACCGTGATGGCAATCTATCCGCTACGAAGCTCGTATATGCGCTTTGACACTTTTCTGATGGGTTAGAAGGCATCATGCTCGGCGTTTGCCCGGCATTTGTCTTTCAACGCAGCAGTGGTCTGATGTTGCCGGCCGAGTGATATGGAGGCGGATCGTCAGCAAGCACATTCAACTGTCATTGAATCAAGTGCCCGAACGTAGAAGACAAAACGGAGCATCGTAGTCAAATCTGGGACTAGAAAATCGGGTCTGCTAGAGACAAGAAAGTTGAGAAAACAAAAGTAATCATCATTCTGCTCTCCTGTCGCTTGTCATCAATCCTACTTTTACCTCTTCAGCCGGTGTGTCTGCTCGATACTTCGTGAGATTCTCATCCTCCGCCAATGCAGTCTTCTGAGGCGCGTGATTCAGAAGGACTGTCTTGCTCCCGTTTGCGCTGCTCCATTCCTTGCTCGACATGGCCAGGTCACTGCTCTCAGGGTACAGAATTGTCGTGAGAATTCTGCCAACAGTGAGTTGCTGAAGGCGACGTCGAAGAACATTAATAGTCGATGATTGAGAGATGGAAGTCACGAGCAAGAAGAGCATGATCGACAACATGACCAACAGTACAAGGAAAGCCGGGATTCCGAAAGCGTAATGATACTTGATCCTCCGTCCGAACACCTGGATAGAGATTTCGACGGCCTCTTCGGGCACGTTATTGATTGAGCCCAGCGTGCCCTTCGTTCCAACCACCGCTGAAGCCGCAAGATCGGTCCATAGAAGCTTGATGACATCTGAGATGCCAGTCGCATCCGCAGAAAGAGCCTGCCACCGTTCAAAGATGGGCATATTCGACGCACCAGCCAGATCGAATGGCCACTCCTTATTTAGTGCCCCTTGATTCGAATTGTAAGGGAAGAGAAGTTTCATCACACTTGATGGAAAGTCGCTACCGGGTAAGTTATACGTCGTTGACCCGAGAGAAGGTTCAAGCTCGCTGAGTGAAAGAGAGGCGGAATATCCTGGAATATGGAACTCCCGCTGCTTGACTGTTGAAATATTAGGCCGAGAAGCGTACTCGGGTGAGATTATCCCCCAGATGGAACTGATGCCATCCATACTGAGGCCAGAATCTTCCATACCCCAAAGCGGGTAGTCCTCGGGGCTGCTGTAGTTCTTTGGCATGATGGACGTGACCTTAAGACTGCCGAGTCCGTCAGTGCCGTTGGCGGTAAATGTGACTGTCTTTACTATTGCCCGCACAGCCGCGGCGCAAGAGTAAAGGGGAGAAGACCATTTGCTGTGGTTCTCATACACAGCCAGCTTGCTACCGCCATCAACCCTCTGGGGCACACCGCGAAGCAGGCCGCATCCAACGTAAATGTGTGAGATGTTGGCTAGGTCTGCGTTCCCGGCGCCGCTGCAAAGTATCTCAACGTCTGAGAAGTTTCTGTCATCGACGCCGAATGGGTTTGACCAGTTTGCAGCTGGGTTTGCACCAATAGTAAAATGGTTTAGATCCAGGTAACTGCCAAACCTGCCGATCCCGAGCCCTCGGTAGCTTGTAAGAACGTCTACGTCGAGCGGGAACTCTTTGCCCAGGTGGGAGTCAACGTATGACCATGCCTTCCTGCCGACAGTTTTGTTACTCGTCGCCGTCACGTTCAAATATGCCATAGTCCAAAAGTTATTGAGCCAGGCCCCTTTGTAGGCTCTTCCATCCAAGTCTGGATTTGCCTGTGTGTTCTCGCTGTTGTAGAATGGGTACGTGTGGTTGATGTTTACGAACCCCCCGCGGTCGGTGAGTCTGAGATTATCAATGCTCGGAAAAGGAACGGTATAATTGACTTCGAAGTCGAGCGTCAAGTTCAGCCCAACGCAACTCGTGATTGGCTCAATAAAAAGCAGGTCCTCGGACCAGCTAGCCCCTTGATCGATGTTGGTGGGTATGGTATGGTTCCGGAAACCAATACCCCCATTAGCAGCGTCAACAATCAGGCCTTCGACGACCTTGATGTTCGGGTCCATGATGTGGCTCTCTAGCTGACGGTATGCGCCGACAGCAACCTCGGTGCCGTTATCGACGAACGCCCGTCTCCTGGCGGTTAGCTGCCGCCATTCAATGTCGAAGAAGTTTGAGATTGTTGTGCGGTCTTTCGTTCCGCTAGAGAATATTTCCTTCGCGGTGGGGTTGATTTTGGAATCGATGCCGAAGGGCATAGTGAAGTTCAGGGTGCGGTTGCTTCCGCTGACAATAACGCTGCTCTCAGAGTAAGGGCAGGGTGCCGGGCCTTGATCCAGCAGGCTGTGACCCCAGCTACAGGTGCGAGAAAAGTTGTGAAGCCCTCTCTGCGATGTAGCTGCGCCGAAAGACCCGCTGTCTTTAATATACGAGAAGGATCCTAGCCTACTCCCGAGTGTATCGATCTCTTCATAAAGGCCCAGAGGAGTAACAACACCAGCGATGGCGATGAGGACTGCAATGATAGGGACCGCCCAGGAAATGAGAGAGATCCTGAGTCGGGCGCCGTGGCTTTGTACTGAGTCGGACTGAAGGATCGTGGGCCACCATGTTCGCTGGAGAACACGGCTGGCAATGTTCCTGTATCGTTTGTTGATTAGCAGGCATTACCTATTGGGTGCAGAAGGTAGCTGAGGAATGAAACGGACTTACCAAGTAGCCACTGTCTCTGTGTCTCGGAGAAAGCCCGCTAGGATTAGGGCGATCGCTGTCGGGCAGAAGATCTGAGCTACCAGCAGATCAGGGTCAATACTTGACTGCAAATCTCCACCATGGTGATTGGACTAAGTCAAAAAGAAATCTTACCGACAACGATAGCAGCTGCAATGAAACCAGCAACATATCCAATAGTGACTTCAATCATTTCGAAGGCGAGAAACGACTGACAAGCAGATAATGAAGACGGCTCTGGAAATGGAATGACGGTGTAAAGAAAAACTCCAAGAGGACAGAACACCGCGTGACACAAAAGAACCATCGGCGGCGGAGGCGGATAACGCAGCTAAATGCCCAACGGACCAGATACCTTATTTTTAAGCTTCTTCTTTCTGCCCTATCATGCCAAGAACGCCTCATTCTCGCGAGACGCCTAGCCTGATCATGGTTATCAGGGATTTGTCGTTCAAGATGCAACCCTGATTGGGTCAACTCCAGGCAACCTGCAAGCTAGCGCAAATTCGCGCTCTTTGCGATGACGAGATCATTCGAGCTGAACTTTTAGCCCTGCTTTTCATTCTTCATGTTCCTCGACCCTGGCTATTTCACCAATTGCTTGGGGGTACAAGCGGGGGAATAGACACCCGTTTCTGACATTTTTATGCTAGACACCCTATCCCTGCCAAGAATGGTATGGGAGTTTTGATTGTGGCAGGCTTGACCGATTGTGATTGAAGGGCACACTTCGTCCAACGGCGGACAGTCTCAGACCGCGTGGCCCGCGGAGAACGTGATACTGAAGCTGGTCAAACGATTGTTCACCATTTTGCCAGGATCTCTAATGGCAATGGTTCCATGTATTGTCGAAACTCTGATAGTCTTGCCTCGAACTTTGTGCAGTGTAGCTTGTTCTTCAGTTGCTATTCTAGGCTTCGGCTTTCCTTGCAGCGCTGCATGTAACTAAGTCGTATCCCACACTACATATCTTATTATTACACGCTCGAATGCAAAGAAAGTGTAGGTGTACTTTGCAAAATAGCAAATAAGAGCGAGTCTCTGGTGTCGCATGCGAGTACTATCTCACTGAAAGCTGGATTACGCTAGTACACCGGCGTATCAGGGGTGGTCACGTCGCTGATCAGAGCTGGAGATGGAAATTCTTGAAATAAACAATTAACCGGCGTCAATGTAACAGCTTCAGGGGGTCTGTTGACAATACCATGACGCCTCTCTTGCTCACTGCTGGTTCCTGGAAATCAACAATTAACTTTGGAAATCAAGAAGAAAGAAACAACCTCACACATATCCAGTAAAGTGCATAGCCCGTCCAGTAAGAGGGGAAAACACGGGAAAACTCAGTAAAAGCACTTTCACTGGTCCTTTTGTTAGCGAGAAAACTGCAGGGTACATATGGTAGGCCATGCCTCCTAGAGAAGATAAATAAGCAAGTTTCAAGTAACGAATTCGCCCCTTGTTAATTCCTTCGGATCGATATTGGTAAATCACCCATACGTCATAGTCGTAAGTATTGGAAAGTTAGGTAGGTAGACACGACATGCTGCATTGTTCATAAAGCCATTGCCGGTAAAGATTTTCCTAATGAAATAATCCAGTATGTTTCATCAGTTGAACGAGACACTCTCATTTGCACAGTGTCGGTTACGTCTGCCGGAGTCTGTTGTAATACACACGTTGCAACATTGCACGACCATCGGGTGAATTAATTGACGGACATCTCCTATGAAGGAAGCAATAAATGGGAAGTTTTATCTCTACCAGTTCGACGATCATCAAGGCATGAGCAGCACGGAGCTGGACGCACGTGTACGTCTTTCCAACGGATATTCTTGTTGTCCCATGATGACCATCTGAGATTGCTATTCGGTCCCCTTTGGATTGCTATGTAGCGACCTCTCTTCCGAGGAGCAACAGAGATGGGTTTGTTCCAATGACGTGACCAGGCCCGAATCGATTGACAAAATCCAATCAGTGATCCTATGAATCGAAGGTCACAATGTTCATCATGCACTTGAACTAAGCGAGCTAAAATCGCGACGCCGACAGTGGGTAGATAACGACGCAGCAAGCGTCCATATGTTCAATTTTGAATCAAAATATGTTCATAATCCATAAAACCCCCTGTCACCTCCCCTACACCTCTCAATCACTCGTAAGATCTCAGATGCCTTTGCGCATCTAAGAAGTGCCAGAGCAGCCGACGAAGTTGTTGCCGCTGGCACCGGTGTGGGTGATCTGGCCGGCCTGTCCGCAGCTGGCGTTGATGACGACACGGTCGGCGCCGGGGGAGCCTTATTGTACTCGTTAGTCGTGGTCAAACATTACACAGATGACGCTTTCCGCGGCAACACAGCCCAAGCCAAGGAACCGCGCAGCACAACAAGGCACATAAACAAACAATACTAACCTCCGGTGTAGACGCCGCTGGTCTTGATGGGGAACTCGTACCACGGGCCGCTGACGTCGAAGTCGAAGCCCTCGTAGTTGTTGTAGCGGTGGGGGTAGGTGGAGGAGCCGGCGACGGTGCCGGCCTTGACGTGCGTGCAGGCGGCGTTGGAGGCGGCGTTGACCTGGGCGGTGGAGTAGGTGGTGCTGCCGCAGGTGGTGGAGCGCTTCTCGATGGCCGCGGGGACGGCCGAGACGGCGAGGGCGAAGAGGGAGACGAGGACGACGGGGAGCTGCATCTTGACGGCGGGCGGGGGTTCCGAGTAGAGACTGAGAGGGAGTGTGTGAGACTGGCCTGGCGAGAGAGAGAGGAGACGTCAACCAGACATCGCGGGGTGGACCGTCTTTATACACGAATTTCACAATGGATGGGGAATTTTTGGACTTCCCGAGGGAGACGACTACACGAATATTGTTCCCCGTCATAGATGCAACGCACAATCACCGGTTTCCCCCCTCCTCCACCCAGCTGACGGAGCTGGGCAGACAGCTCATGAGCGGCGGCGCTGGGCGGAGGGGCGCGGCGATGATTGGGGTTGCGTTGCGCTGTCAGCGCTGGGTTTCCCTGTCGCGTTGTCGATCGCCGGTCACTCAAAGCGGAAGGTGTGTTGTTAGGATCTTATCGCATGGCCAGGAACGCGGCCGTGGTTGGTCGAAACCACAAGCGAACCCAGCAAGAAATAGCGGAAAATAGAAGCTAAAAAGCCAAATCACTCCTTATTGAACTGCCCTCTGTTCCTCCGTCTTCATTGGTGACTTGGGCACGGGGTGGAGGATGTCGTGCGCTAGTCAGGCCGCATCTACCGAACGGCATTGCAACGCCAACTTCTCATTCCTCCTGGGGCCAGAGGACAGGAGGGCGCCGTCGACGGCCCGGTGAGGAAGTCTCTCCCGTGTCTCCCGTGAATCCCGTTCCACCCACGCAGCGCGAATCCCCGCACTGGAGGAGGACCCCCTTGCCGCCCTGCGCACCCTGTGCACCCTGCGGCCACCTCCGATCCACCAGGGGGTCCTTATTTCTTAAGCAGCTGTCGAAATGGGTTTAAGCCCGGCGGTGGTGGAGTCCGCAGGGACGCTGCGATTGTCGGGCTGTCCCTATCATTCTGCCCACGAGGGCCCTGGGTTTGTTGTGAACCGGGCAAAACTTGGCTTTTAAGCGCGCTTCGGAGCTTGGGTGATTTCCTTGGCTCGGCTGTGAGAGGCTGGCATGATTTTACCTTCTGAATAGGGTTACAAGCGTGGATGCCATGTGGGTGCGTTCGTCTCATGGACTCGGAATCGGCAGAGGCTGGAGTGGGGAAGAAGCGAGAGAAAGGAAGGGGACTCGGCTTCTTGGGTGACGATGTCTTGGCTTTTTCGTGGTGGATCTCTGTTCAACGGCATGGGAAAGCGACCGTTTTATCAAGGTGTCTGATAAGGAGCATGGCAATTGAAGTCGCACCACAGCCGTTCTTGTTCTTGGTGATTGAATCACCACGATGATCGTATGCCCTGCTGGAGAAAAACAAGCTTGACAGCGTTCGTTGCTAATGGTGCAGGGGCATGTGCCGCTCACCCGATGCCTGGCAAATACCCAGAAACTTATTTCAATCGTCAAAAATCAACACCGGAGACGTCCGCTCGTCGTTCTCCAATGTTAAGCTTCTTAGCTTGCATGTGACAGTTTTGACTGCTCGCTGTTTGTTCTGCCCGCATCGGATCAAGTGCTGGATTGGGCATAGCATCCCTGAGACAAATGAGGTGTTTCGCTTGTGGCGGGGGAGGCCAACATCATCAACGCCGGGTTTCTGAGCATCTGGGAAGGTGGTAGTTATCCTGATCCCTTCGACTCGCAGCGTGTGGTGTGGCAGACGATATCACGAAGTGGCTTGATTGCGCGTATAGCACGGATGCGGCAATCATGATAGCTGGTCGGCGAGCGGCGAGCTCCTGGGCTGTGAAGACCAGAGATAGCTGGACGAGGAGTAAAGATGTTGAATTGAGAGATATGGGATTAGCGAAGGCGAACAGCAAAGAACGTCTATCGACATGGAGGAAATATGCGGTGAGACCGGGCGAGGTCGACCTCCTACACAGCTTAGGCAGATGCAAACACAGGACTCCAATCCTGCTCCTCCAACCACTTGGCAAGACTGGGAGGCTCAATCTTGACCTTCAGATCAGAAGGCCAAGTCAGCTTTTCCTTCCATCCTTCAACCTTTTCACCGAAGAAGCCGTATTCATCCACGAACAGGTGAGTCTGGGGAACCTCCAAACCCAAAGGGTCTCCAGCGGCTAACTCGTCCACGCTCTTCTGGACAAAGCCAAACTCTCGACCAGTGATGCGCGCAAGAGCGTCTGCCGTCTGAAAGCGCGACTGATACTCGTCGTACGCGGCAAGGATGGTCCCAGCCGGCTCGTCGACGACCAGGGCCCTGACGAACGGGCCCGTGCTCTTCGGCGCATCGATGAACGGCACGGCGACGTCGCCCGAGGTGGGGCCGTCGAACTCGGCCCGCTTGGTCTCGGGGTTCCAGCGCGGGACGAAGTAGGAGCCCGGGAGAATGTTGGAGTTGTAGTGCCCGATCAAAATTTGGGACGTCTTGGACCACAGGGCAGGATAGGTCTGCTCGATGTGCTTGACGATGTTCCACTTGCCGTCGTAGTGGTGCACATGCTTGAGCTTCCCGTGGCTTAGCTCATTGACACCAGGGAGGTTGCTGAAGACGAAGCGCTCCAGGGTGGGGATGTCTGCAGCAGCGGCAGCAAGGTTGTAGCCCCATTGCTCCTCAGTCTCTTGAGCGACCATGGCAGGGTGAACACCCTTTTCTTGGGCTTTCTGGGCGACAGCTGGATCTTGGATGACGCTCCAGAAGTCTGTGACGGCAAATATGGCAGTTGCGTCTTTGAAGGCTGCGCGCAGGTCTGTGACGGAGTCGAGAGAACCAGACACCATTTCCGCGCCGAGGTTGGCCAGCTCAGTGGCGGCAGCAGACGAGGTGTTGCGGGTGACTCCACGGACATGCCACTCGGATGCCAGCGATTTGTCGCCGAGAAATGTTCGAACAACAGAACCTCCTTGGTTACCAGTTGCGCCCAGGACGACAAGAATTTTCTTCGGAGCAGACATGATGAGGTTTCTGTGGAGGAGGACGTGAGATATTGGTGAAATTCTATTGGAAGACTGTAAATGCGATGATAATGCCGAGGATATAGAGCCAAGCTTGATGTAGTTGGCTTGTCCCAGCTATTATATCTGCATCTTGGAATCACGCAAGTCTGGCAGAAGTCCACGATATCGGAATCCTCTTGCCTAGTCAACGCCCCTTGGCGGAGAATTGGGAGGCGTCCACATGGTATTGAGTGCCAGCATAACGTTTGTATTGACGCAGATTACGAATGAGAGAGTAGTCGCGGAGTTTGTCAGCGTCAGCATGGCGGACTTCCGTGGCTCATGCCGTGGACGCGGGTGTTGAACATGATGGAGGAATGAAGACGCCGATTTGTGGCTAATTAGCCCCTCGGCGTGGGATAATTCGAGATGGAAAAGGGCAAATAGCGGGCTGACATCTCGCCGGCGGGGATTGGCTTGGCGGGATAAGGGATTGCCTTATGTCAGCGAACATCGGCAGCGCTGATATTCCGACCCGAGCGAGAAAGTCCAGTGCTAGGATCCACCTTACATAATGCGCCTGAGCTTGAGATGGTCCGTGTCCCAGCATTATATCAGCTGCCATTCAGGTGAGCTAGGGTGGAGGTTCGCAGTGGCAGCAGCACCAAAAGAAAGTCGCTGGGAGCAATTGGATGCGGCCCATTTAGCGTAACGGAGAACCTGAAGCTTGGGACTGAATGTGTGACGCGAAGCAGGGCGTCAGGGCTCCGCAAAACGCGTTTTCTTTGGATGCCAATCAAGCCCCAATTTCCTCTGCGCCTTGTGCTTGCCTCAATTAATTAATTGTCCTCAACACCACAACCGCCTACCCCATCGCCGCGTGTCACGACGACGACGACAATCGCATCGACACCCACCGCCCACGCTATCCACGTTCGTTCGCACTCTCTCAGCGGTTGCCAATCCACCCCTAAATGCCCTCGGGCCGTTCGCGATGCGCGTCATCAAGCCAACATGGCTGAGCCATAGCGGCGAGCAGAAGGACTTCGAGGTCTACAGCTGTCACGTCTCCGCCGACGGCAAGCGCCTCGCGACTGCGGGCGGTGATGGACATGTGCGCGTCTGGTCGACTGAGGCCATCTACGGCGATGCCATTGAAGGCTCCGAGAAGAAGCCGCGACAGCTCTGCCACATGAGCCACCACCTGGGCACCATTCACTCCGTCCGCTTCTCGCCAAACGGTCGCTACCTCGCTTCCGGCGCCGACGACAAGCTCATCTGCGTCTACCACCTCGACAAGAGCCCTCCTGTAGCTTCTTTCGGTAATGCGCCCTCCTCCATCGCGATGCGCCCCGCTGTTTGCAGCTCTAACATTGTCCTGCAGGTCTGGGCTCCGAACCTCCCCCGGTCGAGAACTGGAAGACATACAAGCGTCTAGTCGGCCACGAGAACGACGTTCAGGACCTCGCCTGGTCTTTCGACTCGTCCATACTGGTCTCAGTTGGTCTCGACTCCAAGATTGTCGTGTGGTCGGGCCACAGCTTCGAGAGGCTCAAGACAATCACCGTCCACTCCAGTCACGTCAAGGGAATCACCTTCGACCCTGCAAATAAGTTCTTCGCGACTGCCTCCGACGACCGAACCATCAAGATCTTCCGATTCACTCCTCCCGCACCGAATGCGACACAACATGACATGGTCAACAACTTCGTGCTCGAGACGACGATCAGCGCACCATTTAAGAGCTCGCCGTTGACGACGTACTTCCGCAGATGCTCTTGGTCCCCCGACGGCAATCACATTGCGGCGCCGAACGCCGTGAACGGTCCAGTCAGCTCCGTGGCCATAATAGAGCGCACGCGATGGGATAGTGAGATCAACCTCATCGGCCACGAGGGCCCGACCGAAGTCTGCATGTTCTCCCCTCGCCTGTTCCATACCGAAAACCCAGCCGACAATCCTGACAACAACGGCCTTGTTACGGTCATCGCATCAGCTGGTCAGGACAAGACGTTGAGCATATGGAACACCAACACCAGTAGACCGGTTGTCATCCTCCAGGATGTCGCTGGAAAGTCAATATCGGATCTGGCCTGGTCCCCTGACGGCGGAACGATTTTCGCTTCAAGTCTCGACGGCTCTGTGGTCGGCATCCAATTCGATCGCGGAGAGCTCGGATGGGTTGCCAACGCGGAGGAGAACGACAAGGCGCTGCAAAAATACGGGGCGTCGAGGAAGGGTATGGGTATCGCGGAAGATATCGAAAACCTCAACCTGGAGAATCAGAGCAAGGCCGGCGAGTCGAGGGCCGCTGAATCACGAATGGGTGCTCTCATGGGTGACGGTCCATCGAAAGATGCAGCACCTACGACGAACGGAACAAAGCCTGGCGGATCGGCGACGGGCACGTCAACACCGAAGCCAACCAACGGCAACGTCGAGCCTGAGAAGGAAAAGGAGAAGCCGGCAGAAGAGCCCGCAGACAAGTCGGCGGAGAGGGTCAAGGAGCTCAAGTCGCGGGTGACTGTTGGCAAAGACGGCAGGAAACGTGTGGCGCCTCTTCTGGTGTCTGCTTCTGGCACCGGTCAATCATCCCTCCCTCAGACACAACTTGTCGGATCTACCTCATCAAAGGCAGCACAGAACGACGCCCCGCAAACGATCCTGGATCTCGACAGGCCATTTGACGGTCTTCCCAAGGGAGGAGTTGCCGCCATGCTTCTGGGTAACAAGCGGAAGGTAGCGGCAATCGAAGGCGAGGAAGACGAAGAGCACGCGTCGAAGCGCCAGGCAACAACTGGTCCCACGGCAGTCGTGCTCAACGGTGTGGATGGAGCTGAGCCAGCTTCAGTCGTGCCAGCATTACATGGAGTCGTACCTACACCGGAGTACCTCCGTCCAGCAGTGCTAAACCCATCAATCGCCTTTGCACAGATTCGCCTCGCTGTTCCCAAGGTCAGAGCACAAATCGTGCGTCCCCTGGAGCGGGGTGTCCTGCTGCCTGAGAGTAGTACCGATGAGGCGTCCAAGGTACCGGAGAACATCATCCTGGAAGCTCGAAACCCAGTTCAGATTAGGGATCCATCTCACATTTCAGCTACCAAGCGTGGAACACTGCTGTGGCAGGATTACCTCCCCAGAGCAGTCATCTTGGTCACTGGCAACAAGACTTTCTGGGCGGCAGCTTGCGAGGACGGCAGTGTCTTCACATGGACACCCGCCGGTCGTCGGCTGATGAACCCAATCATCATGGAGTCTCAGCCCGTCATCCTCGACTGTCGCCACAATTATCTCCTGTGCATCAACGCTGTCGGATTATGTCACGTCTGGGATGTGCCGAGGCAGGCAGCTATTCACCCACCAGTGTCTCTTGGTCCGGTCCTCGAGCTTGCTACTACCACGCTGAACCTCAACTCCACGACACCAGGTCCTGGCATTACGTCGGCGCAGTTGAACTCGGCTGGACACATCGTTGTCACCCTTACCAACGGCGATGGCTATTACTATACCCGTGACGTGTACTGCTGGCAGAGAGTCAGCGAGGCCTGGTGGGCTGTCGGCTCTCAATATTGGAACAGCAACGACTCCGCTATTAGTGCCCTTCAGTCAACCGCCGTCGGCCCCGTCACACCCGCCAAGCCGAAGGACGCCGACACCGCCAATGTCTCTGCTGGTATCATCCCGTACCTCGAGCGTCACACTACCAACGAATTCCTGCTCAAGGGCCGCGCATACACCTTGCAGCGCATTGTTAAGATGCTGCTCTCCAAGGATGGCTTCGAAGGCTTTGAGTCGACGGTCAGCATTGCTCATCTCGAAAACCGCATCGCCGCCGCCTTGCACCTGGATGCGAGGGACGAGTTCCGTCTCTACCTCTTCATGTACGCCAAGCGCATCGGTGCCGAGGGTCACCGCGGCAAGGTCGAGGAACTCCTCAACAGTCTCATTGGCGGTATTCTCAAGGACAAGGACGAGAAGGAGACGGGACGGGGTTGGTTCAGCAAGGAGGAGGACATTTGCGGCTGGGACCGGAAGGAGCTGCTGAAGGGTGTCGTCATGATTCTCGGTACGTCTTACTACTATTATGTCTTCAATTCAAGTTTACTTACACGTCGCCACAGGAAAATTCCGAGAACTTCAACGACTGACGATCCAGTACGCCCGCCTTCTCGACCTGAACCTCGAGAGCGATGGTATGGACATCGAGTAAGAGGGGACCATGGAAGAAGAACAGAAAACTCATATCCTTCCCGCTGTATTAATGACGAGAACCAATTGTTGTATAGTATACCTGACATGATGAGAGAAAAGGGGTCGCCGAAAGGGCGCGGTAGCTGGGAGGAAGGCTTTTGGAGTCGGCGTACGCTTTGTGTAGGATGGGTTCGTTTTGTTGGTGGACACTGGGCGAGGAAGAGAACTACTTGTTTCGTTTCACCTCTCGTCGGGTCCTGGTCGTGAGGATAGTTTGAGCAGAAGCTCTGAATCACATATTCTTAACCAAGTTTGGTGTTGGGATCATTGTTTGTCGACATGCGCACTGGCTCTTGTGTCGATTGAGGGTCAGTTCTGACGCGGATGATCTTGGAGTCTAAGTTACATCTGACTTTCATTGACAGCAATTTGCGGGCCAAGCGATCTTCCATTCCAACCTCCAAGTCTTATACTGGGTCTCCACCACCACACCTGAGACCCTACGAACAACTCGTGCGTTGTGGCGACTGCCCTTCACGCACTTCATCAGCGTAAGTGAGCGGCTTAGCAGTCGTCGCACATGATGAGGCAAGCGGTCATGCATCCAGAACGCTGAAGAGCGGACTGCCGGTCAGGGCCGCCGTAGTCTACGAATTGTCAAGGTTAGAAATACGATCCACATTTTGAGCTTGATTTCGTGAAGGTGAACTCACTGTCGTGGCAGTCAGATGTGCAGCTGAGGCAGGTTCCTTGGAAGGGGGCCCCGGCTTTGCAGCCTGCCATGACGGACGGGACGATGGCCGCGGCGATGAGGAGGATGGTCTTGGAGAAGAGCATGGTGGTGGTATGGTGTAATTGGTCGGTGAAGTGACAAGAATGCCGATGTGGGAGGATGGTTGAGTGTTTGAAGGGTTGATGCTGATAGAGGAAGACAGATGAATGTTAGTTAAAGGATATAGGTACTACTTATACTTGATTTTGGTTGATCGCTTGGACCTGGATCATGAATATAGAGACCTCACATCTGGCTGCGTTTCTTGGCAAATCCTGAACATAATCTAAAGTTCCCCGAAGGATTCTGGTGTTCACGAAAGAATGCGAGACAAAAGCCGACATCGCACACTTGTGGAGGCTAACTAGCGAGCTGTAAAACTATTTGGGCAATAATCTGCCTCATGAGCAGGATGAAGTCTTGGCGTTGATGACAACTGATCATAATGATAAGACAACATCGAGCTGAGGCTGGGACTTGATGCGAGCGAGCGAATGAGGAACGAGGGTGAATCCCGGTGCCTAAAGAATGAGAAGACATCCCGGGTGATGGCCCAAGCCCCCCTTGTGGGTAAGGTAGATCCACTCTTCAGCTCCTGAGCATCTATGGATACAGTTGGCTCTCCACCTGACTTGGGAACGAGATACTCTATTGAGGTAGGGAAAGAACTTTTGGACGGTTTCATTGACGTAATGATCAGAAACTTTGTTTGGCCAGAGCAGGAGCATATTCCCAATTGCACTGCCTTGTCAACTGCCGCTGACATGAACTGTCGCCGACAACCCAACTGCAGCGAATCTGGGGAAATCCTTGGAACCAACTGCTTGCTTCCTTTCAACTCTTGTCTGGTCCTAGTGGAAGATTGACTTCAAGCGCAAGCTCTGAAAGATTCTATTCCTGTCTTGTGTCTTCCCACGATAATATATTATGTGTCTTTTGGGGTGCGTCATGTTGACCAGTAAAGCGATAAGCCAGGGCACGTATCAGCGATCAGCTGCGTGACAGAGTCTTGTAGCAGGTGATCTAATCCGGGACTCTTCTTGTCTAGTCGTTTGAGTACTGGCCTCGCGGTCCCGTTCCTTAGCCTGCTTTCAATTCTTTCCATGCCTGTCTTCAATGATTCCAAATCTGCATCATTCATATCGCTTAGGAGCTCGTCGATTTCATCGAGAGTCTTTACAATACGCAACTTCCCTTGCACTCTCAATGTAGCCACCGCTATGTCGCGTGGCAACTCTTGATCCACAGTCTCCTTGGAGTTTGACTGCACGTCGTAATGTCGATGCACCTGTCGATTCCAGGTCCGCCAGTCTGCTCCGGCGTCTAGGAGAATGTCTGCGACAGCTTTGTGGCCATTTCTGCAAGCGGCTTCAAGTGGCGTTTGCCCCCAGTATTGACTTTGGGCATCAACATCGGCCCCCTGCTTGACTAAGAGCTTTACAATCGCTGTGTGACCGCTCAACGAGGCGGCGACAATCGCGGGCCCGTTTCGACTGGGTGTGTTAACGTCTTCACCTCGACTAATCAATTCCCTCACAAGGCTTCCGAGACCGTGTTTGCACGCGAAATACAATGGGCCTCCTTCGTGACGTACATTTTCCGCTGGCCAGTACTGCCGATGCCATGTCGTATAACAGTCTTGATCAAGCAAGAAAGTCGCAGCTGCTGCTACCAGTTCGGTGCACTTCTCGTTGTCTGCTTGCCTAGCATAGTCCATCCAACCCATCGCTGCGTGGAAGGCCAAATAGAAAGTGGGTTCGCCTCTACTGCACTGCTGCTCTTTTCTCTTACGTTTGCCCAAGGTCCCTGTTCGTGTGCTAGCCTCATGAAGGGCAACGCCCTTCAAGTAGGCCAGGCAACTGTGGGTGAGATTGATGCTAGCTACGGGCTGAACACCGATGTCTTTGTGGGTAAGCAGGAATTCCTGGACAGAGGAGTGAGGCAGTTGAAGTTGGATTGCTCTGTTGCGCCCCTTTCCAGTTTCCACTGATATCACCAGGCAAGGGCAGATTCGTTGTATTTCCTCATGGCGTGGCATTCTATCTGCGACGTGAAAGGATTCCTGCCTGATGGCGACAATGTCAACAGCCTTTTCCAATGTGAGAGGTGTTTTAGAATAAAGTAAGAACTGTAAAAGGCGATTCGCTTTCGGCTTTAGCGTCTGTGAGATGTTATTGAGAATTCGTTGGTATGTCTCCTCAAGATCCCGCGGCAGTGACTCGAGCTCTGCTTCAACACTTTCTCGATCAAGGCAGTTCTCCAGACTGTCAAGCTGGCATGCCGCCAGTCTGAACCTGAGATACTCTTTCAGTTATCAATTACTTGGAATAAGATCCGAGGTGTATGCGACTTACATTCCATCGACCTTGCTTGCAATTTGATCACACATCAGGCTGATGATTTTAGAATGTGCACCCCACTTTTCAAATCCGGCATCTTCGTCCAATTTTTGTTCCACGTACGATCGTATGTCCGAATTGATGGCAGTCTTGCTCAGAGGAACACAATTCTCTGGCCCCAGAGCGACACTGAGTTCATGTTTAAACTCATATTCTGGTCGACTAGTAACCATCATCTTCACATGTTCGAGGTCACCAGCAGCTGCCAAATCCTTTATCCAACGGATCAATGGATGTCTTGTGACACATTCGTCTAATGCGTCGACCAATATGACGGCGCTCTCCACACTCCTCAGCATATCTTGAAAGCAACTCGCAAGCTTTTCACAAGCAGGCTGACTGTAATCGTCGGAACACTCGGAGAACAAGGCGTCGAGGCCAGATATCTTCCTATTGGTGGATAAATGAAGTTGGTATAGTAGTCCTCGTAGCAATGCATCCAGTGTTTGTTTCTTGGGATCTCGAAAATCAAAATAGAACTGTAGGAGGCATTGGACATTCTCCTCCTTCAGGCGATCGAATATCGTAGTGCTGAGGACGGTTTTGCCGCATCCAGATAGTCCATACAGCCAAATGTGTCGGCGAAAACCGCTACGCCATAGCTGAAAGGAAGGCTCGTCAAAAATCCACGAGCCGGTACCTTTCCGTCGGACAACCCTAGCGCTGTCTGCGTTTGTGGAGGAATTTGGGGGGGCCAACCACCTCCGAAGATCGTTGTGCCGCTGAGAAGTTCTGATGTCACTGACAACACGGCTTGTTTCTTGTATAAATTTCTGCTGCCCGATTTGTGAAGTTTCTACTGTTGGGAGGTCAGTATAGCCCATCGAGATGGAACCCAGGAGTTCTCAAACTAACGAGATTTGATGGCCATTGCAAGTTTGTCTTCCCTGTGGACAACCGCAGCTGAGACTTCCTCCAAAAGATACCTTGTATAAGCCGCTGCCGTCATCGCTGCAAAGCCTTGCCATTCCTTATGCTTGTGGGTATCGGAATAGTCGCAGATCCCCCGAATAACTAGACAGGGGAAATGATTCATTAGACCAGCAACCTCCATCTCAAAGCAAAGCACCCCTGTCTTTTTCGACAGCTGATCCCTTATGTTGGCATCCTTCATCAGCCTGTTCCCGGACGCAATGAGGCCATAATGAACGGCAGGGCTGTCATCTTCAATGCCTCTCTCAGCCCGCATTACCACTTGAGATTGGTCCTCTCCACAGACCGCACTGCACTCGTTTGAGAAGTCTGTCTGAGAATGCGTGATGTGCGGCAGATAGAGCCTGTCGGAGGTAACGGGGGGCCGACGATGGCTCTTCTTCAAACGAGGATACTTCTCTAGTACTCTTTCAATCTTGCTGTTGATGTCGTGGCCCTCCATCATATGCCGGGCTTCAAGGCTGCTGACGGCAGTCAGCAATGACTGCGGAGGCTGGTTCAAACTTCCCGTCATGGAAAATTTCCGGTCTTGTATCGTCTTGCCATAGTCGTACTGCACCACACCTCCTTTACCTGCGTTTATGTCGCGAGTCCCTACGACAATATCACCAAGGCGAATGTCGTGCGTTTTGCTCGGAGCGCCACCCCCTATCCCAACCATAAGCCCAACCTTGAGATTCGGGAAACTGTGGATCATATCTCTCGCGACGGTAGCTGCGGCTGTGGTGCCATATTCCGACTTGGGCAGAGCTGCGATGGCCACATTGTGCCTTCCCATACGACCAAGGGAATAGCTATTATTATCATGCTGCGAGATTGATAGTGGGGCGTCATGCTGTTCATCCAAGAATGCTCTGGCAGCGACAAACTCTGTGGTGATGGCGCAGATCCAACCAATGGTGTAAATACCTGGGTCGGACATTGCGCATCAGTCTCTAGAAAGTCTGGCCAGGGCATAAACAAGAAGAAAGGATTTGAGATGGGCTGTTCTCGGTTCTCGGCGATAGATAAGCACGGGAAAACTTCCCGACGGAGGGACAGAAAGGTCAGAGCCTTGCCTGGTGATTGCGGAACGAGAGGTGGTGCGTCAGCAGCCATCGGATCTACATCCCTCCGAACCATGTGAGTACGACCAGGGAAGAAGTGACACAGCGGCTCTTCCAGGAGGAATGGGATCCAGCCTGATGACTGCATGCGCCCGATTTGAGCGGGGTTACGTGACTTTGTTCGTGCAAGCGATGGTCAAGCCCATGGGTGTTTGGCTACTTTTCAGCCAGAGTAACCATTCTATTGACATGGTAAGTTGCATGTAGGTACCCAACGATCAACCCTGCACGAACACAAGAACTCCAAGCCACCAGGAGACTTCCTGCATGGAAAGCACAGCCACTGTGGCTTAGCTGCGCTGCTCTAAAATCCATACAGTTTCCCCACACTTTACCTCCTCTTCACAAGCTCAGCTGCCGTCTAATCTATCACCATTATGCTCTATCGGATGGCAATCTCGCGGCTATTGCTCAACGAAATACTCGTCCCACGTTTCCCATCGTCTTTGCAATGCCTGAACCACGCCAAAAACGTCAACTTCGCTCCACGAAGGCCTGTACGCCGAACCCTTTTCCACTTCGGGCGGTGCCCAGGCGTATGATATTTGCAATGTAGATGTGGCTGATAGGTTATTGCAGGTGATTATTGCCATAGACGCAGGATCAAGTGCCGCAGCAGCGAAGCAGCCCCGAGCCAATGTCAGAACTGCGTCGATTTTGGAATTGAGTGCCAGTTGTCCCGCCCATCGAAAAGGGGCAATGTGGGCGGATTGGAGCGCGTTGGGCGCACGGTAAATGAACCGAAATCCACTACAGATCCCGAACATACAGAAGCAAACTCCAGCATAGCGGCGACTGTTGTCCCCTCAGATCGGGAGCCTCAGAGTGATGGTCCTCCAGAGCCTGTGTCTCACGACCCCGTCATTAAGCCATCACGCGACAGAACAGATATCGGACGGGGAAACCTCCCCACAGGCACGCTAGCTCCAGCCTGGTGTGCATTTGCTTCAGTGTCAACCACTCTGATCAAAGAATTGCTCGGAATTTATTTCGAAACAGTCTACCCTATGTGAGTCTACTCGACGAGCTGTCATTCTGATGGAATTATCGAGCTAAGAATTAGAGCTTTCCTTTCTTCGATCGGAAGAATCTTGAGGAGCGGATGGCTGCTGAAGAGCACACCCGAAACCGCGATTTCTTCTGTACAATCATGGCTGCCTGCTCCTTGGCCTCAGCTCGCGTCCGTGATGGCGCGCTGGTCTTCCCGAGGGAGCGTGTGGGAAACTCAACAGCAATAACGCCAGAAACTTTGTTCGAAGCTGCGCATGATAATTTGCCATCCGATTTCTCGCACAGTCAAAGTTTCGATACCTTACGAGCCTGCGCGCTTTTAGCTCTTGCAAGCCTTCAAGATGGCAAGATCAAAGTAATGCGCATGTACATTGGCTATTACTTTACGATGGTCACAACATGGGGTTGGCATGAAGAGTCGTCTTGGCCAGCAAGCCTATGTAGGGTTGAAAAAGAAGAGAGACGGCGGTTGGTAAGTTTTGTTGACCCATCTGCTTGGCAGACATTTTAGTGGCTAAGATTGTAATAGTACTGGTCCATTTACACGCTCGACGTATTCACGTCAATCGTTTGGGATGGCTGCGTTCATTTCCAGGAGGCTCACTCAAGAGTCGAGTATCCTGAGGGTGATCAGTCTGGATTTTCATCAGCAGGCAATCCAGATTGGATCGAAGGGTGGAATTTCACCACAGATCTCTACCGCATATCGGAGCACGTACTATGCAAACTGAGAACGCAGCACTCTCGCTTCAATCTATTCGGAGACTGCCACTCAAGCTTGGAGACGCACCGAATACAAGAGCGAGTGAACAGTCTCCATTGCGGTCTGCACCATCGCTTCAAAGAATTCGGTCTGGCGACCGGTGTCGCCGAAAAGGACATATACGGCTTTCAGGCAGCAAACATCCAAGCAACGCTTGCACTTCTGCGCATGGCCTTGCTGTCTCTGGAAGGTGACATCGGTCTGGATAAGAAATGCTCCGTTGTCAACGAGGTGTTGACAGCGTTCCACCAAGTTCCGAAGACCTTCCAGCGCGCTATTAGTACTCCTCTCGTATACCACATCGGTTCGATCGGAAACATCCTCGGTTCCGTCATGGAAGGTCCGCTTTCGGAGAGCTCATATCAGCGCGTCAGAAGCTTGCTTCTCTCCATGGCAGATCTGCTTGAGGGCCTCGAGTCATTTCTGCAACAACGGGCAGGCGCGGGTCAAAAGCTCCGACAACAGGTTGATACCATCGACGATTACATGTTGTCGCGACAATATACCGCAGCGAGAACTTCTGGGCAAAGAAACAACTCGGCTGCGGACGGGTTTACGGAAGCGATGCCTGCAGACACTAACACAGAAACGACGATCATTGGGCTGCCAGATAGTTCTGAGATGTCACCACTATTTCAGATCCCTGACGACCTGTTAAGTGACTGGGACTGGAGTCTGAACATGTATCAGAGTCAGTTTCCGTACTTCGACGACCAAAGTTAGAAAGCTGAAATCAATATGTGAAATAACAAGCGAAAGACAGACACTTGATTTGGATTTGGCATCTAGGTGGATCTCAGATCTGGCATGGTAGAGAAGATAAGAATAATAGGGAAGTCAAACACTAATGACAGTCATGAAAAAGCATCTTAGCCAGTAGATCTACTCCATGACTTCACATGATGATACCTTACTGTCCCGAATTATCAAGTGATATGTAAGCACACCGCCGAAGTGGCCCAATTCCCAAGGAACAAACACATGGCTATCATTCGCATGTGCTTTCTCACGCATTCATTTTATGCGATACGTGTTGACCTGAGGGCTTGAAGTCCGCATCTTCAACGTTCCTAGCATCGGCGAAGACATTCCCCTCTTTGCCATGTCCGCGGTTAGCGAGAACATCGCTGTGGGCCTTGTAATTACGCTCCATATTCCAAGTGAACACACTGTTCGCAGCAAAGAGGGCATCTATCGACTCGAGTGAACGGCCGGAGGTTTCGGGGTAAACTAAAGTAGGTCAGTATCCGGCCAATATCAGGCATTATGTCGGGGGAGGGGGGGTTCTCTCTTACACAAATAGACAATGGGTATCCAGACAAGATTAAAGCCGGCAAACAGGAAGTAGGTGCGGTTTTCCAAAGTGTCGAACATGATGGGATTCACCAGAGTTGTCATGCCGACTCCAATGGCCCATCCAGTGATCCCGAACCCATTACCTTGTGCACGCAGATCAGAAGACCAAACCTCTGTTGGGATAAGGAACGCCACTGTCCCCCACGTGGCGGCATATGAAAGATTGAACAGAAATAGCATGGCTACAGCGGCAGGAGCAAACTGTGCAGCTTTGTCAGGGTTTGAACGAGACCCTTCGTACAGAGACCCTGCAATGAGATTGACTGTGAAGAGGCAGAAGGCACCGCCCATTAAGCACTTTCTCCGTCCCAGGCGATCGACGATCTGGGCGCTGATTATGGTACCGACGATGCCAACCGTGTTCAGGCCACCGGCAAGACCGTTTTGTGTTAACTCGGTGTATCCGGCTTGTGACAGTAGAACCGGCGAGTACGCCGTCACGGCCGTGATTCCGGTCCAAGATGCCATGATCTGCAGGAGCAGGCAAAGCCAGGCGCGCTGGCCTAGATTGAATCCAGACTTTGAGCCGTTTCCTGAAAGTATCTTCACAAACTCAATAGGTGAAGATTTTGTACTTTCTTCGGCGACGGCCTTGATCTCAAGGTACTCTCTTTCAACGTCAGGGCCGAATCCTCCACGAACATGCTCAATGACTTCACGAGCGTCGCCAAATCTGCCAGCCGATGCAAGATACCGAGGGGTATCAGGCAACATCTTGATACCGAGGAAGAGGAGCAGGGCCGGGAAGCACTGGAAGGCCAGAAGGAAACGCCATCGGACGTCAGAGTTTCCCCCATCAACGAAAGCAAGGCCGAATGACAACCAGTACGCAACGGAGATACCGAGGTAATTTGCAATAAAGACGTAACCGAGGAAGCCCCCACGATGTTCCGCTGTCGATGTTTCCGCAACCATTACTGGTGTAATACCAGTTAGAGCCCCCGTTCCGATACCTGTGATGACGCGGGCAACGATGATGAAGTCGCTGGATTGCGTTGCGGCTTGAAGAGCTCCTCCAATAAGAGAGAATGTGCATCCTATGAAAAGACTCGACAGACGTTAGCGTGTACATGTAGGAGACAGCAGAATAGATGGGATGGAATACCCATTGATGCGACCAATTCGATCTGCCGCCCACCCACCAACAAAGCATCCGAAAATGCAGCCGAGATAATAAACTGAAACGATGCCTCCTTGATGGACAGTATCTGTGACAGTGCCATCAGCCATTCCGATTCCGACCTCTTCAACATATCGAGGCGAGGCATTGACGCCTCCCATGACGCCTTGGTCATAACCCTCGAAGAATATGCTGATGAGCGAGAAGACTTGGATGGCAATGTTCAGCTGTTTGGCCGAAAGGCGCTTCCACCAGGTGGTGTAGTTCATGTTGGTGATAAATGTATTGTTCGTGATGTACGTCGCAAATCATCAACGATGTGGCTCAAAGGCGCCCAGCCTATGATCTATGACTGCGGCTGTGCGAAATGATTGCGATTGCACACCTCGAGTGGTGGTTTAGGTAGAAGTTTCGATGAGAACGTGGAAGAAGCCAAAGATACTTGTTCTTCCGTTGCAGTCGGCTTTAGACGTGGGCAACGAAGTCCTCTGTTTGTTCAAGTACCGACGTTTCTCCAAACCTACCTACAGAACCCCCGCAGTTAAACCCCGGATTCTACAACCACGGGCCCATTGTCGTGCGTGCCTAGTGGATTGAGAAGCGTGCATTGCCAAGTGATTACTATGGGAGTTCCGCTTAACCATGTAGCCGAAGAGCCCCGTGTAGACGCTTAGCCGCTTAGCCGTGTAGCCGCTTCCCCGTTTCTCCACCGAGCCGTGATGTACAGCTGCAGCGTGGGCAGGTCCTTACGTCCAGTCGAGCCTTAGTTAGCATTGATGTGTACAAGCTGACCCCGCATCAGCCTGATTTTGGGCGCTGATGACCATCGGGAAGCAATGCATAAGGACCAAGCCAATGCTGTCGAAGTCAAGGTTTCGAGCGAACCTTCTTTGTCTGCTGTAGCTAATTGAGTCGTTGACCATCTTTACAAGCTCCTGAATGTCGTTTTGACAATTTGACATGTCAGCCGAAAACAAGATCACGAATGGCCCTTCAAGGGGTCAGCCGCTGGACCTGAAAGTATTGGGGATGAATAGCGGCACATCGATGGTACGTGAAACATGATCGATAGAACATCAAGTCGTCTAAGATGTTTGATCTCGATGTCAAGTCTCAAGCTAAATTGCTTTTAGGATGGCATTGACTGCGCTCTTTGTCAGTTTCGACAAGAAACACCAGAATCGCCGATGCACTTTTCCCTTCTCAAATATGGGGAAATTCCCATGGATCTGAAAATCAAGAAGCGAGTCCTCAACATCATCAAACACGACAGAACCTCGGCGTCCGAACTGTCAGAAGTCAACGTCCTTCTAGGGGAGGTTTTCGCTTCGGCCGCCAAGAAATTCTGCGACGATAGCGAAGTTGACATTAAGTCCATCGACGCGATCGGATCTCATGGACAAACAATCTGGCTTGCTTCTATGCCCGAAGAGGGCGTTCCAAAGTCTGCCCTCACAATGGCAGAGGGCACCATCATAGCCTCACGCACTGGAATCACCACAGTGACTGACTTCCGTGTATCGGATCAGTCTGCTGGGCGTCAGGGCGCCCCCCTCATTGCCTTCTTTGACGCACTATTGCTGCATCATCCCGGGAAGCTTCGCGCATGCCAAAATATTGGCGGTATTGCGAATGTGTGCTTCATCCCACCTGAGGGGCCTGATCATGCATACGACTTTGACACCGGTCCGGGCAACGCACTCATTGATGCGGTTGTGAGGCACTATACGAATGGTAGAATGGAATACGACAAGGATGGAGTGATGGGCAAGCGCGGAACAGTGTGTCAGGACCTCGTTGACAAGTTCATCAAAGATGTTCCTTACTTTTCGTGGGACCCGCCCAAGACTACGGGACGCGAAGTGTTCCGCGACACCCTGGCAGACGACCTTATACGCGACGCAGAGGCTCGTGGACTGTCTGCGGATGATGTGGTTGCTACTGTCACTAGAATCACTTCTCGGGCGATAGTGGACCATTGGCGCCGGTATGGTCCTGAGGGGAAGCAGGTTGACGAGGTATTTATGTGTGGCGGAGGGGCGTACAATCCCAACATCACAGATTACATGAAAGAACACCTGCCCGGAGTCAAGATGTTCATGTTGGATGACGCTGGTATACCTGGTGGTGCAAAGGAAGCCGTAACCTTTGCATGGCAAGGAATGGAAGCTCTTGTTGGCCGGAGCATACCAGTTCCAGAGCGAGTAGAGACTCGGAGACCATACGTTCTCGGTAAAGTGAACCCCGGGGAAAACTACAGGAAGGTCATGAGCAAAGGTATGAAATTTGGCGAAGGGCGGGAGACGCTGGGCTGGGTGACTGAAATGGTGAACTACGTGGATGGTAGTGCTTTCGATAACAAGTGGTGAGTGAGCTGCCGTACTCAACAATCGTTGGCGACCGGTTCGAATTGGGCATGGACGCCTTATCTCTTGGTGTCGGCTACATTTCATTCGTCGTACGGTGTTTCTCTGCATATGAACCCGGACCGCGGGGTAGTTAGGCAGAATTCAAGGCAAGGCAGACTGGCAGCGCCACATATATCTACCGTTGCCTTGGATACTGGATTTTCCAATTGCAGTCGTGTTTTTATCTCGGAAATTCTTCCTGGGTGCAGCCCGTGATACGAATGGAGGAATTGGACACCGACGCTCTTCAAGAGCAGTTCCGCGCTCACTGGGAAAGCAGCACCACAGATGAAGATGTCACACTGTATGGATTCAGCCGCTTCAGAACGATTCACCTACTGAACCTTCGATTCCTCGAAGGTGAGATATCTGAACTCAATCGTCTAGTTTACCAGGCAGGAAAGAGTCTGGCCGAAGTTCGGCCCTCACGCGCACGTCTTGGCATAGATTCCAGATGGAGCGGCATGTCATCAGCACCAGAACCAACCAAGATCATAAATCAAGAAGTGGTCACTAAGCTTCGCGACTTGCTGAGGCAATATGGTAAGTGCGACTTTGCAGTCACTCTACAAGGGACCTCATTTCCAGAAGCTCATGGAAATACAGATGAGGCACTTGTTGCATTTCATAACATCATGGGCATGGAAACATCGTCTTTGATCGATGATGAACATCACGTAAGTCTGAGAAAAGATTGAACGGCCCACCAAATATACTGGAACGGGGTTTAGTGGGCCCACTGGATTTTTTTAGCGTTTTCAGCGTTTAAAGGCCAAATTACTAGCCCCCCTTAAGGGGTGAGAAGTTAGTTTAGTTATAATTATTATCCTTATAGAGATAAGAGGCTTAATTCACTTGTTTTTTAGTGGATTTTTAAGCTTTTTATTTTATTCTTTTTATTTTAGATCTATAAAGAACGTAAAGAGTTTTTTCTTTTTTTTTTAAGATTATAGGCTTTAAAATTATAGAGTTATATAGTTAAAGCAGCTTTATATGTTTTTAGGCGTATATATACTGCTATACTATATAGCTTTTAGCTACCTAGTTTATAACTATTTTAATAGTACTTAGAGGTGGATTTATTTTTCTTTTAGATACTTATATAAAGTATTAGAGGAGAGCTTACTCTTATACTAAGTAAATAGATTAAAGTAATATATATAATAATTATAACTATTATTACTAAATAGATAATATTAAGAAATATAATATATTAATAAGAGTTAAATAGTTATTTATAGATTTAATTCTTAGTAAGTAGAAGAGTATAATAGCTAAATATAATTCTACTAGTAAGAATAGAGGGGATATAAAAAAACTTTAAAAAGGATTTTAAAAGTATTATAGTCTATATAGTAAGGAGTATTAGATTTTTATTTATTTCTATTTTTATTATTCTTTAATATTATAAGTTATTAAAGCTAAGCTAAATTTACTTAATAAGCCTTTTAAACTAATAAGAATATAAAACTTTATAATATTTAAGTAAAATAGCTTTAGAAACTAATAAATTTACTATAGAAGAATAGGATAAATCTACTATAAAGCTATTAGTAGTCTATATAACTTTTAATAAATTAACTAATAGAGGCTTAAAAAAAGGAATATAAGGTTAACTATAGAGACTTAAGATAGTATAGCTAATTAGGCTTAAAATTAGTATAAATAGAGGTATAATACTTACTTACTTAGTTATACTTTTTTCTCTTTTCTCTTTTCTCTTTATTATATTTTTAGAAAAATAATAATAAGACTTAAGATTAAATAGATTAATGCTTTTAATTACTTAAAATAATAACTTATATTTTTATTATCTTAATTATTAATAATTATTATAGCTGAGGTATAACTTAAGATAACTAAAGAGATATTATATAAAGATATCTTAACTTTTTATAACCTTACTACTAAGAGTAAGCTTATTAGTATATTTAACGTTTAAGCTAAGGTGTTTAAGAATATTTAGGATTAAGTTAAGGTGATTTTAGCTTTTAAAAATAGCTTACTTAATAGCTCCTCTAGTTTATAAGCTTAATCTATTAATATTAACTTTATAGAGGTTAACTATACTACTAATAGTACTTACCTTTATATTAGTATTAATAGAGGTAAAGAATAAGCCTTTAGTATTAATCCCTATTATACTTTAAGTAATAATACCTATAGAGTTTAATAGTAGCTTATAGCTTTTATTAATAATACTTATTATATTTCTATAGATTAGTTAATAGGAATTATTAAGTAATTAGTAGAGTTATACCTCTAATAGTTTATACTAATTATAATAAATCCTTTTTAGAATAAGAATATTTTTATGTTTATAGATAATAATATTATAGATTTTATTAAGACTTATAATTTTTAGTTTTATAAAGCTTATTAGATTAATAAGGATAAGTTAATAAAGGTTTACTTCTACTATTTTAAGGACTTAAAGTAAGGTATTAAATTACTAGTTAAGGATTTTAATAATTAAGAAGCTATTAAAGCTACTTTTATTAACTAGTATAGTATTATAAATAAAAGCTTTTATTAAGATCTTAATAAAAAGCTCTAAGTAATTAAAGATAAGCCCTCTTTTTCTAAGATTAATACTATTAGTATTATAGCCCTCTTTAATTATATTAAGGGCTTATACTATAAAGTTATTATAAGGGAACTTTTAGAGTATTAAGATTAAGATCTTATTTACTTTATTTATAGGTACTTACTAAAGGGAGCTATTAAAGCTATTATAAAAGCTCTCTCTTATAATATTAAAGACTTACTCTAGAAACTTTAGCTAAGTATTAAGTATATAATTATTAAATAAGTAGCTAGAGAGAACTCTTATATATATTAGTAGAAAGAAGGCTATAAAGATAGCTACTCTTCTTCTAATTACTAGTTTTATTAAGCTTAATAACTAACTTATATAAGTTATTTATATCTAATAGTAATATAGTAACTTAAAAGTAATAAACTCTAATAAAGTTATTATTTTTTAAGAGTAGATATGCTAGATATCTCTTAATAGTATAGATATTAAGGAGAAGATAAGGGCGTTTATAGTTAATATTTAGAAACTAAATATAAATCTTAGCTAGTAGTTTAAATTAGTATAAAATAGTTATATTATAGATATAAACTAAGTATTTATAGTATAAAGAAGTTATAGATAGTAAAGGGAGGCTAGCTAATTTATAAGCTTAATTATTATAAACTAAATATAGTATAATATACTTAGGATTAAGGGTTATTACTCTTATAAAATAAATAGATATTATATAGCTAAATATAATATTATAGATAAGTTAAGGAATACTAAAGTAGCATACTACTTAAGAGGATAGTATATTAGTATCTATACTAACTATAATATTATTTAGGATAGTATTATTAATAAAGGATAGAAAAACTTAATACTTAACTTAGTAACTATTTAGGCCTATATCTTCTAAAATAAGGCGTACTTTTAGCTAGAAGTAATAGTAAAGTAATTTTATAATAAGTACTACTTAGAGTAAATACTTAGCTTAAAATTATCTATTTATTATTAAGAAGCTATAGTTATTATAGATAAGGCTTAGAGAGAATAAGAAGAAGCTAAATAATAAGTATTAATAACTACTATTAATTATATTAATATTAAGTATATATATAGCTATATAGTTAATATTAACTATATAAGAGATAAAGAGCTAATAGAGGTTAACGCTATTATTAGAATAAAGAATAATAACTTCTAATATATCCTATATAGTAACTCCTTAGTAAAGAAGGCTTACTTTATAGACTAGATTTTAACTTAATAAGGCGTTATACTTATAAGAGGTGCTTAAGTTAAGGAAGTAATTAAAGATAAGATAGTTATATAGGTTCTTTTATAACCTTAACTATAAGAACCTACTTATTATGAGGAGATTAAGAAGTTATACTAAATAACCCTCTTTTAGGACTTAGAAGAAGCTTACTTTTAAGCTATAGCTCTTTATAGTAAAAAGTAGACTAATAATATCACTTTACTAGAATAATTTCTCTTAGATAACTAACTAAAGTATAAACAGCTTAAGTTTTAGTATATAGCTATATATATAGAGTAATACTAAGACTAAGTATATAGTAGTAATATAGTTACTATTAACCTAGCTTTAGCTAATACTTATACGTAAGTTAAAAGCTAAAAGGGGAGTATTAAGGAACTTATAAGGTAATAAGATAAAGTATATAGAATTAACTAATAACAGCCTAAGAATAATAATCTTAGGTCTATAAAGGGTAATATTAATATACTAATAGAGGAGCTACAACTTATTAGAGGAAGTTATTATATTAATATAAATATAGTAGATATATTAACGCTATAAGGCTTTAGACTAACTAATATTAAAGTCTTAGCTATAGAAGACTTCTAGTAACCTTAACTTAAGTTTAAGCCTTATTTAAGTAGAGGGCGTATAGTTATAATATATAACTTTATTATGCCTCACTTTTAGGTAGCTATTTAAATTAGATACTACTTAGTAGAGGAATAGTTAGGAATTATTAATACTAGCTCTATAATAAACATTATATCTAAAAACTATATTAACCTTAATAAACTTTAAAGTAGAGTTATATTAACCTTAGTTATAATTAGAAGCTTTATAGATATTACTACCTTAAAACTATAGTTTATAAGCATTATTATAGAGGATATATATATTAGTAGTTATTATATGCTTAATATAGGTTTCTTTATTAGCCTATCTAATAAGACCTTAAAAAGCTTAATCCTTAGTAGCCTTTTTATCTATTAAACTAAGATAGGACTTAGCTATATAGATAGATAGATTAATAATAACTTTTACTACTATACTACTTAGCGCCTACTAAAATATACCCTTAATTTCTTTACTAATTAGTTTATAGCCCTTCTTCTCTATATTATCCTTAACCTAGATATATTTAATAAGAATTAAGGCTTTTATTATATTCCTAAAGAGGAGGAAAACTAAAAGCTACTATTATTATATTTAGTGTAGTAGCTAGCTTATTAGAATTAGGAATAAATAGAGCTTTAAATCTTATTATAGAGGAGGATTAAAAGACTAATAGCTAAGAAGATATTTAGATACTTAATATTAAGTAGTTATCTTTAGATATAGTAATATACGCTAAGCTTAAAAATAGAGATAAAATTAAAGGTGTTTTTAACTATAAGAGTAAGCTCTTCTAGTAAATTCTTAAGGTATTAATCTAATAAGTTATTACCCTTAAGGTTACTTCTATAACTACTAAATTTACTAAACTTAGGAATTATAGCTTAAATTATACTTATAAGAACTAGAGGATATAAATAGATTATTATAGATCTAAAGTAAGTTTAAAAAGGAAAAAAGCCTTATTATAAGTAGAAGAAGTATATAAAGCTAGCTTTAATATATTAGCTATAACTAAAGAGATCTTAAATATAGTAAAGATACTAAGTAATATTATATTCTTTAATAAGCTAAAGAAGTCTTATAGATAGCTTTTAAGTTAATAAAGTAGTAACTTAATAAATATTTTATTTCTTTAAAATAATATTACTATATAATTTAAAATTATAGAATATATTATACTCTATTATAAAGCTTTTTTATATAAAGACTTCACTATAATAGATATTATTAAAGCTTCTTAGATAGTTTAAAAAGCTTAATATACTACTTATAGTTTTAGTTTTATAAATAGGTCT